CTCCTCTTCTCTCTCGGGGAGCGTCCCATCGGCTATGTAGCACAGGAGGTCATCCACCCAACACCAGGCGACTGGTTGCAGGGGAAGGACGTCAATGGACGGTGAGGCTGATATGCTTGAGGTCGTCATCTCCTCAATGCGTGCAATTCTCGATATATGTTCAGGTAACCCTTGGGATAGCTTTGAGAGGAGGTCTGCATCGGAGTTTTGATTTCTCGGGATGCAGATCAACTCTGCTTGCTTGAACAACCCGAGCAACTCCCGAACAACATCTCGATACTTCATCATTCTTTCTTCCTTCGCTTCGAACTCACCTTTGACCTGTGAAACCACCAGACGGGAGTCACATTTCACCGTTATCCACTCTGCTCCCATGGCGGCCGCCAATCGTAGCCCAGATAGTAGGGCCTCGTACTCCACCTCATTGTTGGAGACTTTGAAAAGATAGCGGTAGGCATAGTAGGCTCGGAATCCCTCGGGTGAGATGAGGACGATTCCGCCCCCGCATCCCTTGGCTCCTGTCGACCCATCAATCGCTAGAGTCCACCATTGTTCATTGCTCTCCTGTTGCCTATCTGCCACTTCTCGGGCTGTGCATTCCACAATGAAATCAGCCAGAGCCTGGCCTTTGATGGACGTCCGAGGCTGGAAGTCAACCTCGTATTGGTTGAGGAGCATCGACCACTTCACTACCCGGGTTGTGCCGGGCGCCCTCAGAGCGGCACCTAGGGGTTGGTCTGACAGGATTCTGATCGGGTGCGCTTGGAAGTAGTGTGTCAACTTCTTGGCGGTGATGTAGGTAGCATATATTGTCTTCTCGAGCGGGGTGTACCGGAACTCAGCATTCTGGAGGGTCTTGCTCACATAGTAGACGGGACGCTGAACGCCTTCCTCCTCGCGAACCAGCACGGAACTGATTGCACCTTGGGAAACCCCAAGATAAAGGATTAACGTCTCCCCCCTCTCCGGCTTGCCGAGTAAAGGCTCAGAGAGGAGGTACTTCTTCAGGTCGTCGAAGGCTCGCTGACACTCATCATTCCAGACGAAACCATTTTGTTTCTTTAGGACTTGGAAGAAGGGTAGGGACTTCTCGGCGGACTTGGACATGAAACGTCCAAGGGCTGCTAGCCGGCCGGTGAGAATCTGGACTTCTTTCACCGACCTCGGGGGTTCCATGTCAAGTATTGCCCTTACCTTCTCAGGATTTGGCTCAATCCCCCTCTGTGTGACCATGTACCCCAGGAACTTGCCTCCTTGGACGGCAAAGGTACATTTCTTCGGGTTCAGGCGCAGACGGACTGCCTTCATGATCCCGAAGATCTCTGCCAAATCATCTGCATGATCGGATGCCCGGGTGCTCTTGACGATCATGTCGTCAACATACGCCTCCATGTTCCTTCCGAGCACCTTCCGGAATACCTTGGCCACCATCCTCGTGTACGTCGCCCCAGAGTTCTTCAGCCCGAAGGCCATGACAAGATAACAAAAAATCCCCTCTGGGGTGACGAATGAGGTCTTCTCCGCATCTTCTTCATGCATGAAAATCTGATGGTATCCTCGAAAAGCGTCCATGAAGCTAAGGAGCTCACATCCGGTCGTCCCATCGACTAGTTGGTCGATGTTAGGCAATGGGAATGGATCCATCGGGCATGCCTTGTTGAGATCGGTGTAATCAACACACATCCTCCAGGTTGGCGGCTTCGGGGCCAGGACCACGTTTGCCAGCCAGACCGGGTACAAGACCTCCCGGATATGCTTGATACTCAGGAGCATATTGACCTCCTTCTTCACGAATTCCCTCCTCTCGGTTGAGAGGTGTCTTCTCTTCTGCTGGATGGGCTTCGCCATTGGATTGACTGCCAGCCGATGGACAGCGATGCTTCGGTCAAGGCCAGGCATGTCCTCCGGTCCCCACGCGAAGACAATGCTAAAAAGGACAAGTACCTGGATAATCCTTTCCCTCAAGCCGGCTGGGAGCCCGGTCCCGATCTTGACCTTCCGCTCCGGCCTCTTGGGGTCAATCTGGATCTCCTCCACTTCTGAGGTGGGTTCAGTGCGGAGCTGACCCTCCTCATACTTCATGGCTTTGTTGTTGATAGTGTGGACCCTCAAGTCTTTTTGACCGATTTGTTTGCAAGCTTTCAGATAGCAGCTCCTCGCCATTCGCTGATCTCCCCTGGCAACTCCGACGCCATTCGGAGTGGGAAACTTCATGCATAGGTGCTCCTGGGATATCACACATCTGAGGTCTTCCAGGGCCGGCCTTCCCATGATGATCTTATGCGCACAAGTTAGGCGTACGATGATAAACTCGACGTCTAACTTGGATACGCAGGGCTCGGAGCCCACCATCACGGGGAGGACTATGCTGCCCTCTGACTCAATGGAGTCCCCGGTGAAGCCCGAGAGTGGGGTTCTCACCGGGATCAAGTCTTTTCGGTCCAGCCCGAGACCTTGGAAGGTGTCATAGTACATGATGTTAACGGAGCTCCCATTGTCCACCAGGACTCGGTGGACGATCGTGTCGTTGATTTCGACCTTGATGACCAAGGCATCCCTGTGTGGCGGAGGCATCGGCGGCAAATCTGCGTCGGTGAAGAAGATGGGGTCCCTCTTCACCCTCTTGTCGGCGGGAGCCCTGGTTATCTCCCCCACGTATAGGGCTCGGGCCCACTGCTTCCGCACTCCAGAGGTGTCGCCTCCCTGGGGTCCCCCGAATATGAATGAACATCGATGGTACTTCCGGGGGCCGTTCCCTAGGTCGGCATCGTCTTCCTCGGAGAAGGCGTCGAGCTCCCGCTTCTTGGCAGGCGGTGTCTCCTTTGACGTGGTAGCTTGGTCGGACCGCTGCCACGTCAGGCTCCTCTTCTGCGGGATGCCTCCTTGTTTGCCAACGAATTGGCCCAGGTACCCTTTCTGGATGAGTTCTTCAATTTGCCGCCGGAGAATGACGCAATCATCTGTATCATGCCCTGCTCTCCGATGGAATCGACAATATTGGTCGTGGTTGCGCTTGGCAGTCACCACATCACACTCCTCCGGAAAGTCGACTAAACCTTGCTCCTCCGCGTAGTCGAGGATGGCCCCGACCGGCTGAGCAAGTGGAGTCAATTGCTTGACGGGCTGTAGCGGTCTGCTCGGGACGTCCGCCTTGCCCTTGCCTCTACTTTTGTTACCTCTGTACTTGTTGTTTTTGTTGTTAGCTTTGCCGTCAGCTTTCTCAGCACCCGAACCGGCTTCCTTCTTCTTTTCTTCTTTTGCACCTTCTTCCTCATCTCTTTTCCTCTGCAAGGCGTCCTCCGCCTCGGCTTGCCGGTCGGCACGGCCGAGCGCCTCCTCGTACGAGGTAGGGGGACTTCTGACGAAATCTTTGTAAAGCTCACCCGATCGGATAGAGTTTGTGAGCATGGCCACCCCGGTCCTGTCATCAAGGACCTGAACCTTGACTGACTCGGCCCTCCACCTCGCTAGGAAGGTCGACAATGATTCCTTCTTCCCCTGTTTTAGGCCGAACAGGTGGCTGAAGTTTTTCTTGACGTCTCGGGAGCTCGCGAACCTCAAGAGAAAGCGCTGAGCCAACTCACGGAAATTCGTGATACTCCCGTCGGGTAGAGAGTCATACCATTCACGAGCCGGGCCATCCAAAGTGGCGGAGAAACCGCGGCATCGGATTGCGTCCTCGTACCCCATCATGACCATGTAGGAAAGGTACCGAGATACATGATGCAGGGGGTCAGAAGCGCCCTTGTATGCTTCAATGGCGCATGGCTTGTAGCCCCTCGGCAACGGTGCATCCATGACCGCCCGGGTGAAGGGTTCGGGTATCCGGAGGTCGGCCGTGTAGGGCTCCCCCCCGACGACCCTCCTTCTCAACTCGTCAAGGCGCTGTTGTAGATCTTCCACCTCGGCCGGCGGTGGGTTCCCCCAGACAGCTCCAACGCGGGGCTGAGCGTGTCCGGCGGCACCTCCAAGTCGTCCGTGCACGTGAGGTCGGGGCCCCACGTTTTGCCTCTCCGTGGAGCCAGTCCGACTGCTCGCCCGGTGAGAGTGGCGAGAGGGCTCGCCTCCTTCCATCTGCGTTGGGCGCCCCTGCTGGGCGCCCCTCCCCGTCTGCCGATGGGGTCGGCTAAGCTGCTGAGAGACTTCTTCCCCCCGCCGATGGGAGACTTCTTCCCCCTGTTTTGGTTGGATCCAGAGCGTCGCTCATCACGCCGCCTGGAGGACACCTCCACACCCGCTGGCGTCTGTTGACGGGCAGGCTCATCCACATTTCCGCCAGACACCATCTGTTGGAAATTTTGAGCCAAGGTCCCCAGAACCCGAGTTGCCTCCTGCAGAGCTTCCACCCCGGCATTGAGTCAAGCCGGGTCCATGCGCGGAGCATGACGTCGGCCTCCCCCCCGCCGGCTGCGGACCGAGCGCTCACCTTGAGTGTGGTTGAGCGTCGCCCTTAGGTCGCCGTGGCCTGATAATTGGTTCCGAAGGTCGCCTTGGCGCGCCGCCCTCCTGCCCTGTGCATGGTTGTCGAGGGCACTCTGGCGGCCAGACCGGGCGGACTCCTCGGTGTGGACTGAGACATGGTCACGTCGAGACGAGATTCCAGCCATCTTCCTGTGTGATTCCTGCTCAAGTTATGTGAGAGACAATAGAGGCTCTCAATGAAAGCACCAATGTTGGTCCAAAATAGGACGCTCGTAGGCTTTTAGGAAAGCTACGTACGACACTCAAGCAAGAATTAGGAAAGTACGAATATGGAAAGTTAGCCAGAAATAGCATATCTGTATTTGAAATTCGAATTGCCTTTTATAGGCGATTACAAATGGTAACTGCCGAACATAATAATGACTAAATTAATTACAACGTTAATACAGAATTAAACACATAATTAAGTCGCGCATTGATTGTTGGCCGTTACTCTTCCTGGCTGGCAGGTCAGTCTGGCTGGCAGGCTGGACGCTTGAGCTCCCTCCTGCTGGACTGGACGGTGGGCTTCCCGCTAGGCTGGAGGAAGGCTTCTGACCGGACTGGAGGCAGGCTCCCGGGTAGGCTGGACCGCAGGCTCCCAGTTGGGCTGGACCGCAGGCTCCTAGCTGGGCTGGTGGTCGGCAGGCTCCTGGCTAGGCTGGAAGGCAGGCTTCCCACTGGGCTGGAAGGCAGGCTCCCCACTGGGCTGGAAGGCAGGCTCCCGGGTAGGCTGGACCACATGCTCCCAGTTGGGCCGGAAGGCAGGCTCCCGGGTAGGCTGGACCACAGGCTCACAGTTGGGCTGGACCGCAGGCTCCCAGCTGGGCTGGTCGGTAGGCTTCCGGTTGGGCTGGACCGCAGGCTCCCAGCTGGGCTGGAAGGCAGGCTCCCCACTGGGCTGGAAGGCAGGCTCCCCACTGGGCTGGAAGGCAGGCTCCCCGCTGGGCTGGTCGACAGGCTCTCTTGGGCTTCCGCTCCTTGATTGCCCTGATTGGTTGGGCCGACTCGAGCTCTAGGTTGCTGGGCTTGGGCCCGCTGGTCCAAGTTCGGGGCCTGGGCCGATTAGGCTCTGGGCCTGGTCCCATAACCCCATCACTATCCACCGTCTTCGCCATTCGCCAAGCTTCACACGGTATCTGCTCATTCGAATCCAGATCGAAGCTCAGATAATTTTCACAAAGATGCTACACTCCATCTTCCTCTTCAATTTGAGATCTGGTCGAAGCTCAGATTACATCGACGAAGCACATAGACTAATTCCTCGACATCAGTATGAGGCAAGAACCTCGATCAAACAAATTGCGATATATTTCAGACTGAATTCCGACAATTGTTTTTTCTTTCAACATACCTTATCTGCAAAACCCCTGAAATATGTGGATTTCAGATTTCCAACGGAATTCCGACCAAAGACTACTGTAATTCGGCTTGTATTTGTTAACATTTATTTATACAATTCTGTTTATTGTCCAATGTCATGAAAGTGCAAACATTCATACATTCAAAAAATGTATGTATCTGTATTAACATTTATTTATACACTTCTGTTTTATAAAACATTTGAATTGTTTGCAAAACGCCCTTTAATTCTTATTCTACTCTCTGCTCGAGCTTTTCTTGACTCATACCTTATCTGCTTCTCATATCTGTTATGTTTGAAAATTATTTTTTCTTTTTTGGGATTTTGCAAATTCATCTATTTAAATTAACATTTGAATATTATTTGAAATAGAGTATGATGGCATTGTTTTAACATCAATAGTATTAAATCACAATGTAGAACGATGTCATTGTATTAAAAAATCAAAGTATAGAGTAATTGCTTAAAATCACTGTCATTGTTTAAATAATTACAATGTAATGATGAAAATGCGAATTATTCGTACAATGTCATAAGAATGTTAATTACAAAGTCATAAGAATGTCAATAGAAAACAATGTCAGCGACAATGTCATAAGAATGTCAATGACAAAGTTATAAGAATGTCAATAGAAAACAATGTCAGAAAAATGTCAATGACAATGTCATAAGAATGTCAATGACAATGTCATAAAAATGTCAATAAAAATGTCATATGAATAACAATAAATGTGGAACCAAACATTTATAATAGTGTCATAACACACGGAGTAAACATATAATAAAACATAGCACTTTTCTTCTATCAAAAAAATAAAACAGTATGAGAAAGTGAACTAGCTTCATTTGCTAATCTTCTTTGTATGGTAAGCTGCATCAATATGAGAAAGTGAACTAGCTTCATTTGCTAATTTACATAGGGCAGTTGAGGCATCTCTTTGGTGCTTTACAAATGTTGATTCCAGAAGCTCCAAAATGAATTCTAGACAAGTGTTGAACATAGGGAAAGAAAACATTTTGAGATGTATGCAATTTTTATCAATCGATCACCTTGATGCTAGAAATTAAAGTTAACATATCAGGGGTAATAGATAAAATGAATTAAAGAAGTACTAATGAAAAAGTAATTAACATTAAAATCTAACTTCTACATGTCAGAACTTTTATGAGTAACAGGGGAATTCTGTAAATGGAATTTACCTTGCCATTTAAAACAACAGTAACAGGACAATTTTGCAAATGGTTCAATAAGACCCATGATCTAAGAAGTATAATTAAAACTACAACTAGAATTGAGTAGATACATAGTAGGACAATGATAGTTCATATTTTACAATTTTGAAAAGGAAATTAGGAAATAGGGAGTGGAAAGAAACATTAAGAACCAGATCAAAAAGGAATCACAACCAAAATAAAGAAGAGAACAAAAAAAGAAGAAAAAGACGTCGCATATGAGAAGTAGAAGAGAGAGAAAAAGAGCGGCGGAAGAAAGAAGAGCAGATCGATCTCTCAATATCGCAAATAATGTCAAATGTATGAAAACGTCACAATGTCAAAAAAAATCACAATTTCGTATAGTGATGATGTCAATGTTATAAAAATGCCATTAAAATGATACAATGAAAATGACATTGTCACGACAATGTCAACGACATCGTTGTAACAATGTCAATGACATTGCCCTGACACTGTCAATGACATTGTCGTGACAGTGTCAATGTAGCCTGGACATCATCAGCCCACTCGTTCATGCACTTTAAATAGCTGCCCCTGATTTTTCTCAATTGAAAATGTAAAACATGGTAATTGTTTTCACATAGGCATTTCATGAAATAGTTTTGGTGCAAAACAAAAACTCAGTGATGCATACATTAAATGGAACAACTACCTCTGCATTAGTCCAAGACAACAGCTATTTGCCTATTTGTAATAACAACTAAATGGTTAGCAAAGCCAGTTTAGTGATAAAAGCATATGAGAATAAACATTGAAATGAATAATAACAATGACAGTTAAAGAAGCAAAAGGAAAACGAAGCACTTAACGAAGCAAATGGAAAACGAAAGCCAATTTGATTTTGATTAATTTCAGATTGAAACAGAATTTAGATAATTTCACAGCCCTAATTCTCCGAATTGGCCATCTCAATTCTGCAGCTCCAGTGAAAAGAAAACTAAATCCAAAATGAACAGAAAATTAAACATCAGGGTTGTTCGTCAAAGCTGTGTAGAAGATTTTGAGTTGAATTAGATGCACATTCTCTAAAGATAAGAAGCTGATGTGCGACCGTGGAACCACCAAGAAGGGAGGAGGAGGACAACCAAGTTAAAGAAGAATTCAAAGGAGAAGAAGGGCCTCCGTCCGGCCAGCTGCCGCTGCCGTATCACCATCCCATCTCCGCCAACTTGCCGTACAGCCGCAGCCGTTATGTCGCCATGTCGTCCAGCCGTCGCACTGCCACTGGCGCATCGCCATACCGTCGTGCTTGCATCACCGGCCAAGCTCCTCTGCCCTGGAAGAGATTGAGATGGCTTGCGTGAGAATTTGTTGACACGGTCACAGTGAGAAGCAAAAATAAAGACTTAAGGGCAAATATGGTAGACACGGAAAATTAGGTCCTATTTAGGAGTAAAAAAAGTCAAGGTCTTATTTAATTACATAGGAGAACTTAAGCTCCTATTTAGCACCATTTCTCAATAAAAAATCTTACGGATAGTAATATGATATTGTAGTATGTAGCACTCTTTGTTTCCTTCACTCAGTTGAGTCATTATATAAGTTTGAATGTCTTCACGCTTGTTCCCCACAAAAAACCGTACAGATGTGCAGTATCCTTTCAAACACAAATCCCATGCAAATGCCTATAAATTTAATTATAATAAATATATAAGAAAAAGTTGAAACTTCTATCTTCCATAAAAGATTAATAACATAACTACAATGAGAAAAAACAAAAATTCCATCTTACATTATTCATACTTGTAGAATCACTACACTTAGCATTTGATTCCCCTCACATATCTCTAATATCTCTTCAGAGTCAACAAAAAGAGATATATCATACTGTCCAACTGTTTCTTCTTTCAGAATTAGCTCTATCGGTTGTGGACCAAGGTGAGTAGTCATTGCCAATAAACGTGATATTGGACCATCGTTCTCATCCAAATCATTGTTCTCATCATGGTCAACATTATCCTACACAAACAAAAACAGGGATGGAAGATATATGATGACACTATTACAATTATTTTTTTATTTTTTTATTTTACTATATTGATATATGACATATCCTAAAATAAAAGAGTTGTTTTATTGTGACATTTCAGTATAACCTCATAAAAACACAAAGTCAATATACCCAAGATGTGACATTAAATACAAATCGTTCATTAAAAAGTGTTGATATTTATTTATCACCTTTCCATTTGTCCGCTCCTTTACGTGAGGGTCAACCAATCTTTATGGCCATTGAATGAACTGATTGGGCGCCTGTCCAACTATCTGGACCTCATCACTTGGAATTGGGACCAATGTATGCATCCAAAACCTCCCCCCTCATGATACCTGAATCTATTCTCTGATGGTGTATAGTAGGACCCAAACTGTGTACTTGATCAAGATTTCAGAATTTATATCATTTGGAAGTTATGCATACCTTAAATAGAATACCTTTCCCATGGTTACTAAGTGAAAGTGGTATCCACATAAAGTCGGGATAGCTCATCATCCGACTCAAATATATCCTCTCAAGCATTGCTCCCCCTTTTTTGACATGTGTAGGAGAATGAATTGTCTAAGAAACCTCCGGTGACCAAGGTATACAATTTTTCTTCCATGGACTAATTAATAGTAGCATGCATCCTCTTCATTTATATTGGACGTGCTTTAAGTCCCTTAATACTGTGACCGGAAAGATTCACGTACACGGGAAATTAATTAATGGTAAAGAACAATATGGCTCGCATCTTGAAATGCTTATTCTGATACTTGTCGAACACTTCAACGCCTTCCTCCAAAAGTTGTTTTAGGTCTTCAATGAGGGGACTTAGATAAACATCTATATCATTATTGGGTTGATTTGGACCTGAAATCAACAAAGACAACATCATATATTTGAGCTTCATGCACAACCATGGAGATAAGTTATATATTATCAAGAGAATAGGCCATGAACTATGAATGTTACTTAAGTTACCGTAAGGATTCATTCCATCTGTAGCTAGCCCAAGCCTAAGGTTCCTCACTTCATTTAAGAAATCAGGAAACAACCCATCAGTTTTCTTCCATTGAATAGAACATGTCGGGTGGCGAATCATGCCATTGCGTTTCCTCTCATTTGCATGTCATCTTATATTATTCGCTTCTTCTTGGTTAACAAAAAGTCACTTCAACCTTGGTATTATTGGAAGATACCATAAAACTTTTGTTGGAGAACCAGATGTATTAACTACATCTTCACTGGAATCGTTGTCTTTGACTTTATAGTGTGATAGTCCACATCTCGGGCACTTGTGGAAATCTGCAAACTCTTTTCTATACAATATACCATCATTACGACATGCATGTATCTTCTTGTACTCCATACCCATAGGATACAATATTTTTTTTTGCTTCATAGTTGCGGTTCAGCAATGTATTCCCTTTGGGACCCGAAAGATAGATTAATTATCAATTCAGGACCCGAAAGATGAAACGTATCAGTATAGGACCTGAATGATGGAAAACTATCAATTTAGGACCTAACGTTTCATAGGTTTTGATTTATTTAATTTTTTATTAATTCCATTACTAATTTTTGATAAACTTTTCTTCACAAAAGTTTATTAGTTTAATAAAACGAAATAATATTAAATTTTTTTTAATAAAAAAAATTATGACAACTTAGGTCCTAGATTAATAGTTTTCAATCATTCAGGTCCTAAATTGATAGTTTTTCATCATTCAGGTCCTATATCGATGCATTTTATCTTTCAGATCCCGAATTGATAATTAATCTATCTTTCGGGTCCTGAATTGATAAAATTCCTATCTTTTAACAACACAAGCAATTTTGTGAAGCTCTTATTACTCAACCCATTCTTTGCTTTCAGATGGAACAATCGTAACACAATTGATAATCATGTGTACTTAGTACATCCAGGATACAAAGACGTCTCTGAATCACCACACAATGTATTATAAACATGAGATTAACCAAAAGGCTCTATTCCAACATCATGTATCATGTCCTCTAAATGATCGCCCACATTTGTTGCACAAGTTTCCTCTATATGAGATGATGTGCTATGCATGTTTAGCTAGTCTCCGTGCCATATCCATATCGTATAATTTTTGCAAAATCCATCGCAAAGGACATGCTCTTGTATTGAATTAACACCTAATTGTATCCCATTCAAACAATTCACACAAGGACAATAAAACTTTCCATTTTTATTAGGAAGATGCGCTTTAGCAAACTGAAGAAAAGATTCAATGCCATTTTCGTACTCATCACATGTCCGTCTACAATTAATCCAACTACGATCCATAATAATTATCGTAATGTCTGCAATACATGCAAACACAAATGCAACTATAAGAAAACCAAATGATTATAATAAAAGGAAAGTTACTTTAGATCTCAAAAAATAAAGTCTACAAATGAGATACTAAGTTAGAAGGGCATTCATACAAGACTATACAAATGAAAAACTATAATACAAGCGAGACATTCCTACTAGCCAAACATTTTTTAAAATAGATATTATAAAAATGAGATGTGAGTAGAAATAGACAAATATTTATTCTAGCAAAAAATAAATTTAACTTACTATAGAAAATTCTACCTTTTTTGGATAGTTCTTATGTGCGTGTGCTATGTATATGTGTGTATGTATTTCTGTTTATGACATTTTTTAGAATTTATGTAAAACATATTGGAAAGTTAATGACAATATATTTTTTTGTTTGAAATGTCGACCAAATTAACTTATACTACCTCCGTCCCGATGGACTTTGCCAAGTGCAAAGTTGGTGATAAATAAAAACAGTAAAAGTTGTGTGATTGAGATTTGTGCAGAGGAGAGAAAAATGTGCAGAACCACAAATTAGTTGCTTTATTAGGAAAGTGATAAAGTTTTTTGAGACAACCAAAAAAGAAAAGTTGACAAAGTCCAATGGGAAGAAGAGAGTATGATTTAGGAAATTAAAACAACAAAAAAAGCATTATAAATTGAAAATCGAATAAAATAACATGTTGGGAAGAATGAAGAAATTGACTGCACGCATAACGGCATCCTCATCCATGAGTTTATTTGAAGATCAATTTGATGATGTGTAAGATTATTTTAAAGATTGTCATTGTGAATGAAAGATTATTTAGTGAGATTATTGAAAAAGAAAATCCGGTATCAAGATTCCAATCCCGGATTATTTTAGATTATAGTTAAATTACATTTAATGCATGTCCGGAAAAAACTGATTATTTGAGTATTATTGTTGATGAAGAGTTTTAAACTTTGAGATTATTTAAAATTTATTGAATAAATATGATGTGACAATGATGTGTAATAAAAAAAATCGTTTCTTTAGAGAGCATGAATGGAGATGCTCTAAAAGGTCGTGCCTAAGCTTGGTTACATTGTGAAAGAGTGCCAATGACACTCTTTTTAAGAAGGAAGTCTATAAACTCTTTCAATACATCAACACTTGGGAATATAATGGCAATTGCAGCTTTTCTAAAACTTTCATCTATGTAGCATGAGAATGAATATAGCTAATGGAGTGCACTTGTATTTACTTTGTAGTTTGTATTTATCAGGATATCTCAGCTTGTGGTCTTATTGAGCCCTCCTCTTATTAAAAACAGAAAACAAAATGAATACATATGTATGTATTTCAGTTTATGGATCCAGAACGGGGATTATGGTTTCACACAGGGAATCTCCTACGAAGAGACAACCCTTTCTGAAATAATACCATCAGGTTGGACACTCCTATTGAAGAAAAGGTATGTCTCCATGTTCTTCCTATCCTCCATCCCCGTCCGAACAAAGCCCATCTCTGCTATGACCAGAGAAATCCACGCACCTACAAGAAATTCCTCCACCCATGTCCAGATAAAGCCCATCTCTACTTATTTCTAATGCTATATTATGTGTAATGAGTAAATGTCTACTTTGTGGATTAACATCCTCCCAAAAATCCTGTCGGGTCGAGGTATGTGAGGCTCTTGGTTTGGGAGATTCCACCTTTTGGACCAAGTAAATGTCACGTACTTGGTGGATTTACCCATTAAAGAGTAAATGGGTGAGTAAAAAATATATTTCCTCCGGTCCTAAATAAACTTCACACAAATTAAGGAAATAAATTTGAATTTGTTGTAGAGTACACTGTTGTGACACTGTTTGACACTGTTTTGCACTGTTTTGGTGTAGATAATTTGTCAAATAAGAAAATGAGAAGAAGTATTAAGTTTATTTTGGACCTACCCAAAAAGGAAAGTGTGAAGTTTATTCACACTTGAGTAAAAAAACTAGTTATAAAATTAAAACATTTGAGATTCTCATGTTTTTTTGAAAGGCTTCTCATGTTGTTTAATGCCTTCAACCAAGAACAAATCCTTTCTGAAGCACTAGTTGGAATTCCTTCCTCACCGAACTTACTTGCTTCCCCAAGTCGCAGCAATCAATCGTCTTCGGAACACATCTGCGCAGCCCCATATGGCCAGACGGGCGTTAGCCTCCTGCCTGTCTCGTGCTCTGTCATCGCCGTCAATTGCTTCTCGCCTTCGCTTCGTCGTCCCTGTTCTTCTTAATCACAATCTTCAGCTTCAGGCCCAGCAGTTAGGCCAGACCCGCTTCAAGACATCCGGGTCCGGTTATTCTCCCTTGAATGACCCATCACCGAACTGGACCAACCGCCCCCCTAAAGAGACGATTCTACTGGACGGATGCGACTACGAACATTGGCTAATAGTTCTGGAGTTCCCCGACCCGAAACCGTCCGAGGAAGAGATGGTCAATAGTTATGTTAAAACCCTAGCTTCTGTTGTTGGGAGGTATCTGCATTATATCCCTTGTATTTCAATTGTTTCATTATTAGGTTTTCTCACTAAAAATGTGTATACGTTGACGTAAGCACCCTTTCATTTCAGTTATTCAGATGAATTATTATAGGAATGACAATCTGGAACTATTTTTCTGGAACTACTTCTCCCATTAAGCAGTTTTTTCAAATTGAATTCCTACATGTACTTGATTCTGATAGCAATAATAGTTGCATATGTTTCTGCCTTCTGGAGTTGTATAATACTATAATTTGAGCTTGTAGATGTGTGTGCTTTTGATTAACAACGATTCTTCTTGTCTGTGAGCAGTGTAAGATGGTGTGTACAAAAAAGTGTGTACACATAGTTCTTTTCTTTGATTAAACCCATTTTCCATCTGCATCGTATTTGTGTCAGTGCATTGATATACTTTGATTCTGCCACCTTTTTCGCTGATTGTTTTGTACTAAGTACCTCATGATCTAGTTTTAGTACTAAAACTAGTTTTTTTCGGATTATAGTCTAAAGGGTGCGGCATTGTAAATTCAAAAATCTAATTGAACTTTTTTCCATTTTATAACGAGTTTAAACAAAAATTCAAAAATTCAACATTGTATACTATGTTAATATTCAAAAATTCAATAACAACTTTAAACAATTTTTTTATATTTTGTCATCTTCAACATGTCCTTACACTGGATTGAGAATTTTTTAATGAGTCAAGAGCATGCATACCCTCTGACGGTGGGATGCATATTTATTCTACTATTTATTTTATTATTGATAAACTTGATTCCACTCAACAAGCTACTATTTATGTATTTCCACCTTTTTAGAATTTCTTATAACCTGAATGCGATTACAAAAATAAAAAATATCAATTATAGGAAGGATTCCTATACAAGGGAAATGAAACAGGAAGGTATAAAACTCACAGTGCTGGTAACTGAAATTCCAGAAGATGTAAATTAAATAGTACGTATTAATAACCGAAATTCTCTTTCCTTTCTTTCAATTACAAAATTAGATAGGTAGGGTTCTTGGTGATCCAGTATTCCAGTTCAATAGAGGAGGTGTACTGCTCTCTGGTTCTCTTGATTTTGTTGTGTGTTATTTGTGCCTCCCATGCTTGTATTGGTATCCGTATAACGTGGAGAAGAAACCATCAATGGAAAAGGAAATATGACAACTGGCAAGAAAAGAGAGCTTCAGCAAGAATGGGCAACATGCAATGGGTTTTGCTAATTTTTCCCATGGACAAGCAGCCTTTGAGGCAAACAAAATCCATCTGAGAAGGTTTATGGTGAATATAGAATATTGCAGAGAAAAGTGAAACTCGCAAAGGGCCCGTTTGGATATCGGGAAATGTTAGTTTGAAAGAAAGTAGAGAAGAAAATTTAAGAGATATTTTAAAGAAAATAAAATCTTGGGCTAAATAAAACATTTTTCAGAACTTGAAACTAAATAAGTTTTTTATTTGTTCAAACATATTATGTGTATCTATTTTTGTTACATAAAAGACACAGAAATCCAGACATGTGTAAAAATTATAATAAATCATGCTCCGTATTTGATTTTCCCTCGCATTTCCTTGGCAAATCAAACGGCACGGTAGACACAAATGTAGTGAAAGATAGTGTTTTTGTTTTACTTTTATCTAAAGATTAACAATGTTTTATTGGACAACTAGTGAACTTTTATGTTTGTAAAAAGAAGAACACACACACACACATAGAGTCCTGTTCCTGTCAGGACGTCCTGACCGGAACCCCGTGCAGACAACACTATCAGAGGGTCTTCTCGGTGGGATTTTTTGATGAATTTTTTTGAGCATGTTCCTCATCACGTCTAGTTTATGGATAGCAAATTTCAGCTCAAAATTCGACTGGAAAGGCAGTTAAACAAATTCTTGAAACATACTGCGCTTTATATATGTACAAAATGCTCAGTATGTTTCCAGAATTTATTTAACTTCCTTCCCAATCGAATTTTGAGCTGAAATTTGTTATGCATAAACTAGACGTGATGAGGAACATGCTCAAAAAAATTCATCAAAAAATTCCGCTGGGAAGACCCTCTCTCTATATGTGTTGAATTCTATATGTGATGTTTTGTGGTTTTTGTGCAGTGAAGAGGAGGCCAAGAAAAAGATTTACTCTGTTTGTACAACAACTTACACTGGCTTTGGCGCTTTGATTTCTGAAGAGCTATCATACAAAGTGAAAGGTGTGTATATCTTCTGCGAGGAGCTATAAATTCTCATTTCTTTTCTGGGTTTCAAATTTAATTTCCATTTTTTCATATAATTTTTCATATTATCTTCAACATAGCTATATTTATTTAAATGCATTTATCTCAGAACGAATTATAGGTGTGTTGTTCTGTTTCGTTTATAACTCACTGTTGTGAGTTTTTAACCTTTAATGATCAATGTTGGAGTTCTGCCTTAATTTCATTATCCTAGTCTCCTGAACACCTTTACACGGCTAAGGGTGTTTTAGTTCGACTAGTTTCAGCCCCAGATCAGATCACACCATATTAGACCTCGATAATAGTAAAATACACATAAAATAAAGTACGTATAAAATAAATATCAACCAGTCCAGTTCATACCAGACCAAACTTAAATAGACCAGATCATGTCAGAAAATTTCAATCCAATTAAAACATCCTACGAGTATAATACTGTGATCTGTTTTCTTGGATCTAACTTTACTCATAACTACTGACGTGGCATGTTAATTCGTTGAAGGAATTATTCAAAGATGTCCATTATCTAGAAATGCATGCCTTCTACATGGAATTAGATATATATTTTTATACTGATTGCATTTGTTAATGATAGATCGTGGTTTTACTTGTGTTAATTAGGACTACCTGGTGTCTTGTGGGTCTTGCCAGATTCATATCTTGATGTTCCTAATAAGGATTATGGAGGTTTGACTTCTCATAATGATAATAGTGCAATTCGCTTATCATCTACCTTATTGCTATTACGGGGTCTTAACTTCTTATTATTTAGGAGACCTATTTGTGGATGGAAAAGTCATTCATCGGCCACAGTACAGATTCACAGAGAGGCAAAGCAATAACCGGCCTCGACCAAGGTATGATAGGCGTCGAGAAACAGTGCAGGTCAATAGGAGGGCAGAACCTGTACAAGGAAATAATACGTGGGCATCCAACCAGCAAGCTCCTGCGCAGCATTCGACACCTGTGAATGAGCTAAGTGGTGGACAATCCAGCGGTTCCAGCCCGATTCAAGGTCAATCTCATGGGAGTAATGCCTGAAATTATGTACGTTCTGTTTTTATTATTTGCTCAAAAACCAAAGACTAAAACCTTTTTTGCTCCTCTTATATATTGGCATTTATGTTTCTTAAAATACGGTAACTAGTGACCTCAACTTCCTTGTTGGCATTACCAATTTATATTTATTTAGCTGTTAACTTCCTGTAAGACATACCCTGTCAATCTGTCATTTGAATATCCCTTTCCGATATCCTGTAACCGAACAGGGTGGCTTTTTTAATCAGGAAAATAGGGTTTTCCCCTTGAGGGACACATTCCCTTAAATTAAGGGCCTTAATGTTTATGGACCAGTCATTGCATATATGTTTACATTGGCAACAGTGCGAGGAAGCTCTTAAAGCTTGTGGCCACTTTGATCATTGATGTTGTTCTGCAAAATAAAACATCACTGGCATTGCCCTCAAGGCGATTTGTCCCTTGAATGCCTTCAATGCTAAAACAAAGTAGTCAAAATTATGCTGATTCATTTGTTGAGTAGAACATACTAGTTTAATTTGTTGAGTGAAATAATACAAAAGAGTAAATTAAAAATAAGTTTTATAAAATAAAATCACATTTTTATTTGCAATATATGTATAAATAGATACGTACATACATACAAGAGACTACACCGTCTAATTTGTTATGCAGATTCATTATTAAAGATATAAAATAGAAGAAAATTTCACAATTTTTCATGATTAAATCTGCGATTCATGAGAATATTTTGTTGCAAGTACCCTAGTGATGGATTCGGGCCGGGTCGGGCCCGGTCGGGCCGCCGGTTCAAGAAAAGTGGGCCCGGGACCGGCCCGCGGGTTGGACGGGTCCGGTTCGGGCCGGGCCACCCGCCCCGGGTCACGGGTCGGGTCCGGTTCGGGCCGGGCCGTTTTTTTTTTTATAATTTATATTTATAGTTTATAGTTTTATACGAGTATTAAAAACAAACTTCAATTGCATTTATTTGAAATGAAATAGGAACTACATATAAGAGATAAACATTTTGAAAATTGTAATCAATCGGAACTTCCTGCACCTCCCGATCCTTTGGCTTTGTCACATGACTTCATATGCTTGATTGCCATCCCGAATCCGCCTGAAGCCCCCATTATACATTTTTTTCCGCACCATTTGCAAATTGCGTACCACATCCCGATCTTCGGGTCCTTCTGCTTATCAAAATTATACCGTATAATGGCATTTTGATTTTCCATCTTAACTTCTTGGAGAAGAGAATATGAGAGTAGATATATAATATATCGGAGAATAAGAGAATTAGAGAGTAGAGAGATAAGAATAGGAAGAATTGGAGAAGAGATATGAAAAAATGTTTAAGATTAGGAGTATTTATAGGTTTTTTTACCCCCCACCCCCCACCAACCCCCCCACCACCCAACCCCCCCGGACCCCCCTTTACCCCACCCAACGGCTATATAGCCGTTTGGGTTGTCCCCAGCCCCACCCCCAACGGCTAGTAGGAGCCCAAAAAAAAAATTTTTTTTTTTAAAAATTGGACCGGACCCGGGCCCGGGCCCGGGCCCGACCCGGCCGGGCCGGGTCACAAAAATGCTGAACCGAGCCCGCCCCGCCCTTCCCACCGGTTCGGGCCCATACCCGGTCCCGGACCGCCCGAACCGGGCCGGTCCCGGGCCCGCACAGTACCGGGCCGGGCCGGGTCACGGGCCGGGTGGCCCGAACCGAATCCATCCCTATGTGTATATAGGGAGGTGGACTAGGATTGGGACTAGGACTGGAACTGGGTCGGGCTTCAGGTCCAAGATATTCAGGCTCGGTACCGGCTTGGGTTAGAACCTGGACTGGGCTAGGTCGGGTCGAGCCGGGCATGTAATTTTTTTTTGGTCTTATCGAATTAATTCCAACCTCCACCCCCAAACTGCCCAACCCCACCCACCTAGCAGCCAGCTGAATGGGAAAAAGTAAAAATAATAATTGGGCCCAGCTGGGCCGGTCACCAAAAATGGAAGCCCGTAGCCCGCCCAAATAAATCCCGGTTCGGGTCTCAGTCGGGTCCACAGTACCGGCCGGGTCTCGGGTCGGGCCGACTCGTCCCGGTCCACCCCTAATAGCGAATGACCAGTTAAGTTTTGGATATATTCATAATAGTGGGTTGGATACTTGGATTAGTAGGAAGACAAATTAGACATTTTAAGCATTTTTATTTGTTAATACTCCCTCCTTCCCATAATGAACTTCACGGTCAACATTTTACGATTTCTCACGATTTCCAATATTAACTAACCATTGATATATAAAAATATACACTCATAAATATTACTTCTCAACTTCTCTTGTACAAAAATATAGCCATTTTTTTAAAATGTCATAAAGGTGACTTGGTCCGGTGCCTCTACCGCTTTCGGCGTATCACTGAGCTTCCTGTTCTGCATACCTCATCTTCTCTCTTCCGCCCTCTAAGCCTTCATCCCAATCGACCTTACAGCCCCCGTCATCGACGCAATAAACCTTTGCCCTCAGCTTCGTCTATGCCAGCAGCATGGACAAAGACTTCGATTTGAGGCCTAGCTTCTCTATTGCCCTCGCTGGTCGCCCCTCCCATGGATGAAGACTCCTATGAGGTCAACAGTTTTGAATCTGCCTTCCTCAATGGGCGACGACTTTGATTTGGTCCCAATGGGCGACGACTCTGATTTGGTCCCACTGGTGTTGGATCCTCCATCTTGATGGATGAAGACTTTGATTTGGGGCCGCGGCTGCTGGCAGAGGTGCGGTGGTGGTATTTTGTTCTTCCTGCTCTCCTCAGATGAAGACAGAAAGCTTGAATTTGCCTGCTCTCGTCCTCTACATAGGCTTGCTCGCTTCCTGCTTTTCCAGATCTACGGTGATATTGCTGAGATGAGAGTGGGGTCAGGGAGATGGGGTGGGGACTGGTGGTTGGGCTGGGGCTGAGGGGGGCTTGGGGATGGGGAGCAGGGGAGGTGGCTAGGGGATCGGATGGGGTTGGTGAGGTGGTTGGGGGCCAGGGAGTCAAGCCAGGGGCGGTGCAGGGGTGGTGCGATGATGGTCGGCGGCGGCGCTAGGGTGCTGCTGCATCACCGTGGTGGTGGCGGTGTGATTGTAATGGGCAGTGATAGGGGCGGGAGGGCAGTGACTGGTTTGAGGGGCAAGGGTGAGACTATGACGGTCACTGGCCGGGGGGTGGCAGCACTGATCAGGGCGGCGGTGCAACGATAGTTACTGGCCGAGGGCGGCGGAAGTCACGGGCGGGGGGCGGCGGCCGTCACTGATCGGGGGCAGCGGCGGCAATCACTAATCGGGGGCGGCGGAAGTGACTGTACGGAGTGGTCACTTTGTGTTGGGTCTAATTCTAGTCACTAAAATTGGAAGTCACTGCATATTAGTCATATTTTTGGAAATATAGAAAATAAGTCACTTTTTTGTCTTTTATCCTAATTTTTGTAATTTTCAGAACAAAAGGCCTTATAATAAACTAGCATTGAATAATGTGTGTGTGTGTGTGTGTGCGCACACACACACACACACACACACACACACATATATATATATATAATAAGGATCAAATGAGAAGAATGCTTATCGTAAGAAGTGAGAATGCATCTGATGCGTTCATTTTAAGATCTGTGCATCAGATGAGCAAAAAAGTGCATGAGAAAATGCAAAAAAATATTTAAAAAGTGATGCTAGACGCGGTGACATTTTCGTAATTAATCGGAACTTTTCTGCCATCGCAAAAAGTGCATCAGATTAGCAAAAAAGTGCATCAGAAATGGGTAAATGTGTAACTTCTTACTTCTCACGTTAAGATGTCTTCTCATTAGAACCCGACCATATATATAGTCAATGGATGTTAAGGTATCCTCATGTAAGTAAATGGAAGGCTTACTAACATGATTCCAAGTCTGGGAAACGACCTACCTGGTTCCGCACCTCTGGAGGTTTTCAAAGTAGCGGACTTCACCCATCACACGGCTCTCAAACCCAACCTGTGATGGATCCCGGGAGACAAAGTCAAAGCGCTTGATCCTTTGCCCCATACTTTTATATGCTCCTCCCCGCCGATCAAAGAGTGACGCTGCTCGTGATAGGCTTAGCTTTAAGCTGCTATCGTTCGGTTCAGATAAGTCAAGTCCCTTCGCTCAGGCGGTCTTGGTCTCGAATCAAGCTGGGGTTTCATTCTCGTAACGGGAATGAGTGCACTGCAAGACCAGACAAGTTGCTCCCTCGCCTCGCAGCGGCGACATCTGTCTTTTAAGTGAAGTCAAGCTCCAAAAGGGTAAGTTGCGTTGGAATTGAGAAAGTTCCGTGGAGAATATATATAAAGTGGAAGATGCCATGGCCAAGTTTAGGGATGCCTGTTTGACTAGGCGCGATAGAATACTCAACCAAGCATTCAGCTCGATGGATTACTCAACCTTATACCTACCTCTTTATCCTTATAACCATTTGATCTGGGATCTTTAGATCAATACCAGTTGTAGTGCCTGTTTCTAAAGACTGCCCTCTCTCGATCCAATCCATCTTGAAAGGCCTCCCCAACACACTCTTGATACGAAATAAACCTCTTGCCATAGAGATCCTAAAGTCTGGGTCCCCTCTCCTTATCAGTCGAAGACTAGAGAAGAATGTGGTGCATACACCGAGCTAAGGACTCTAATTCCTTTTTCGATACGTCTTATCTACTTTCTTCTTTCTTTTCCCCGTAGCCCAGTCTTATAACACCATATATATATATATATATATATATATATATATATATATATATATATATATATATATATATATATATATATATATATATATATATAGGGTGCGGTTCCGGTGAGAACATTCCTTAACGTGAGAAATGAGAACACTCTAAAACGATGCACTTTATCCTTCACAAAACTGCACATTTATAGTTAAAGTAATGCAAAATTCTAATGTGCAAATTTACGTTTAAAATTTTGCACAGACGAAATGCACATTTTCCATTTTTTTATATGCACGTTTCTGTTTTACATGATACACAATGCTCAAATCCAACGCTCCAAAATCATTCTCATTTCTCTCCTAAGATGATATTCTCATTTGATCCTTACCCTATATAAGAGAATGATTTTGGAGCGTTGGATTTGAGCATTGTGCATCATGTAAAACAGAAACGTGCATATAAAAAATTGGAAAATGTGTATTTCGTCTCTGCAAAATTTTAAACGTAAATGTGCACATTAGAACTTTGCATTACTTTAACTATAAATGTGCAGTTTTGTGAAGGATAAAGTGCATCGTTTTAGAGTGTTCTCGTTTTGGTTCAAATAAGAACACCTCTAATTGTAAGAAATGAGAACAAATCCTAGCC